CTTATCGTGACCCTTAAAATATTTCAGGCCTGCACTTTTTTATCATCCTTTATTGACTTGTTGAGGTATTGATCCGAGAAGGATGACTCTTGACTAAATTATCTTTTTTTACCCTGACATACAGACATATGAATGATCTTACCGTGGCATATACACAAGGTTTTAATGTAAAGGTCCCAGGGGCTTACAATGCATGTGTATGAAGTCAACTGATAAAACCATTGAATCTCCCAAATTACATTAAATCATGCCTTAAAGTGTCTCACATATTCGATCAAAATTTGCCATGCAAACATGTTAGTCTACTTTACTGGCCCCCCTTGCTGTAACAAGGAACCCAAAACACATTAAAACGTAAACATAAACCAATTAGTCACTTCACTATGAAAGTGGGGGTGTTAGCAAATGTATATTAGGCCATAAGAAGTAGATTCTTTGTTTTGCGTCCTGGCAAAATCCAAATCATGCAAGGGTACAAGGAAAACAAACACAAACTCAAGAAAAAAACAAACTTGTTTGCTGAGAAATATATACATTTTAGGGGCATAAAAAAGGATGACATCCCAATTTGCAGTGATTACAAACACATATCTATACATTTGATACAATATATAAAAATATAGCTATTATTCAAGGGTAAAAAATAAGAAAAAACACAATGTATGTCAAATAATTATAACACTGTTAATTTTGACGCACATCAAATTATCCGCCATTTCATCTGATTCTGAAATGCGATGGTACTTTCAGACCCTTGTGATTACTATTTGGATCTGTTTTTTCTGATTTACTCAAAATCGTGCAAGCAAGGGGACGCAAAACAGATCTACTTCTTGTGGCCTTAGCAGAATACGCTGTGTGCATGGACTAACACAATATCAGTGGTCATTTACTGTGTCAACTTAGTAACCCATGCATATCGTGCTCACTCAAGTATTGAATAATTTTTTATGATCTAAATGTTTTTGGTTTATAAAAAAGTGATTTATTTTAGTTAGAAATACATTAATTAATATATTCATTCAAACAGCACTAGAATGCGGGAAGAAAGAGCAATGGTGACAAAATGTAGACAGAATTTTCCGTAAGGGTTTCAAACATTTCTGGACACAATCATACATGTATATAGTGTACTGTTATTTTTAGTGCTGTATTTATATATATAATTTCACGTATTAAAATCATATTTTCCAGCAATGACTTCAAATCCGGAACCACACCCATATCACATTTTCTTCAATAACTCCAAACATGTGTAAACATTGACCATGTGCATATAAATTCAGATTTCACGAGCTCTTTCATATTCGAGTACCTCATACACCCCTGCATGGATTTGAGTTGGATTCGCCTTTTATACGTGAGCCGACACACTCGCAAACGCTGATTGGATAAAGATTGCGAGCATCTTTAAGGCAGATATTTGTACATTTATACATTTAATACATTTCTAGGTTGAGTGAATCCGGAAAGATAAAGGGAGGAGCTCCTTATACATAAATCATACAATATTAAAATGTGCTTTTCTATCTTGTGGGCTATTGTGTCAATTTCAATCTGAAGAGATGCGTAACATTGTATGTTAACAAACCGCAAGCCTGAGTTTACCAAACAGACTCCTACTTGACCAGTTGACCGATCATTGTAATTTGTAATACTGTGTATAACGTCCACAGGTCAGCAGTTAGTTCAAGTTTATATCCTGAATATGCAGTAATTATAACCAACTTGGAATTTAAGAACAACAAACGTAATGTACTATCAAAGCATTTTAATTGTTGCACAATAAGCGATTTGCATAAAATGGCGTAAGAATTCAAAATACCAGTGCCCATTACGAGTTGTCATTTAGAGTCAAATGCGAATGTGAAACGAAAGGTGAGATATATCACTGCGATTAATCATGTTAATTGTCGGTTGCTGTGTGGGGGATTGACTGGTCGACCGGTGTAAACTCAAACCATGATCATACGAGGTAGGTTTTTAATAAAAACACATTATACAATAATAAGCTGGGTTATGATATACATGTATTTTATAACAGATTTTATAAAAATGTATTTTAAAACGAAACAGTACATCATTCTGTCCTCGCAATGGAAATCCTGAACTTTTTATACATTATTTTATAGCTTCCATTCATTAATGTTTCAGTCAAAAGATAACTTCGATGAAAACACAAACGCTCATCTTGGAATATCTAAATACCACGCCAGAGGGTACACACATGGTACTCTCGATAACATATCAAGAAGACAAATATTGTTTGATTATTGGGCGAGGAATATGACACATCAGAGGAAAATGAAAACTTCCTTCTAACACTTATAACAGACTACGATACCTGGAATTGTTCAGATCATATGGCGATTGCATTCTGATACTCATAGCATCTTTCGGTTTCACCTTTCTCAGGGCTGAGAAGAAATGAGATGCCATGGTTTATCATCATGATGGGCGATTGTGGAACGTTTATATCTACATGTACAGAATACGAGGGTTGTCCCATAAGTCCTGAAATGTTTGCTCTAACATCTTAAAATGATATACAGAGAACTATTTTGGACGACGTTCGAAGGACGAGAAAATGGATGATACAAAAGCTCAAAAAGTAAACTAGTAAACTAAAATCTAAAAGTAAGATCATGACATCTCTAATGGCAATAGTAAAACTAAAATAGAGCGTGTAGGCCATGCAAGTCATCTCGCAACATTTAAATTGGAATCAGGTGTATATTGAGTACGGGAAGTAAGGCCATATTTGCTTTTAACCACAATATGTTAATTAAAAATGATCTTGATTGTTTTATTGCGGTACGATGACAACTTGAAATGTTTGTAAATTAATTTGATACACAATATTGCCCAAAGGGATAGGAATTTGACGAGGAACCGCGCCCGGCCGATTGAGTAGTTTGTTAAAAAATGATTACACTTATACCAGACTACGGTACTTGTAATTGTTCAGATCATATGCTGATATATGGCGATTGTGGAAAGTTTATATCTACATGTACAGTATACGCGAGTTGTACCATAAGATCAACATACTCATCGTATAGTAATGGAAATCGAAGCAAATGTGACCCATATTATCTCTCAACATTAATGAGTATAGTCTCTGGCAAACTTTTGAAATGTAATTAGAATCAAGTTGATTTTATCATTACGTTTGCATTGTTGTACGAAATGACAGGATGATCATACGATATCACCGAAAGCCGTACGTACGATAATCCTACGGTGACCGTACGGGCGCCGACAGGGTAGGGTCCGATGAGTTTAATGGAGAGTTGTTGGTTATAGAATGTAATGCAGTTATATGAAATACTGTGTTTTGATTGGCTAGACTAAGTTTGTCAAATTACACTATGCCTACACTACCCTCCATTAGTTTGGAATTCACACATAGCTAGACAAGGTGTGTCCGATTTCAGCCAATCCGAACACAGTATTTCACATAACGCATTGTGCGTGAAATAACCAATAACGCATCCAAGGTCATTCCTTAGGTGGTTGCAAAGGTGACAAGTTCACTCAACAGATAAAAATTGGTGGTTTGCCAACTTGACCCTTGCAAAAAGTTTCATTTAAAATATGTCATTTTAGTGATTTCGTATCTTTTAGGTGACATGGTAAAAATATTTTGCAATGTGTGAAAAGAATTTAAGCCCGAGACTCAATGCATTTTGTAATTACCAACATCTTCAAAGAATGATCATTCCACATTGCACTCAGTCAAGGGCTTAAATCCTTAAACCTTTTCCCCATGTGCCAGAGCCACTCAATGTTTTATTTTTAATTTTCATAACTTTCAGCGACAAAAAACCATGTAAATCAATAATTTTTCTGGCTGTGATGTAATTTGACTGCATTGGCTATACCTCCAAATATTTTCAAATACTATTTCAAATACTATTACAATAGGCCGAAAATTTAAGACTAATTACAAACATTCTTTATATAATTATTTGATTTTAATTTTTTGAATTTATCCATATAGCAATTTCTATACGGACAAACTTAATTTTTGAGCACCAACGGTTTTCGACTACACCCGCATAGAAATCTCTATATAGGCATTCAATTTATATTTTTGACCATATAGAAATTTCTATACAGCAGGCAATCTAGGAAAATAATTTTTCTGGGCCACATAGAAATTTCTATACAGCGTTTCGATTTTTCTTTTTCTACTCTATCCTTATAGAAATTTCTATACCAGCAAACATAATTTAAATATGCACCCATATATATAGAAATTTCTATGAAGCGTTTCAATTTTTATTTTTGACTTTATCAATATGGAAATTTCTATACGAGGAGAAATGTTTTACCAGTAACATAATTATTATTTTCCGACGGCCTTCACATAGAAATTTCTATACCGATAACCAATTAAAATGACAAAAATTGATATTGCCAGAGTCATCTGCATAGAAATTTCTATACGGAAAGACAATGGAATATTTTGTATAGAAATTTCTATCTGAGAATAGTTTATTTGTAAGTCTAGTTAGAAGCTACATAGAAAATTCTATACGATAAAAAGAAACACAATTTTACTAGACATCAACATGAATATGTATTGATAAAATGATTTTACCTTTATCTGGTTTGATGAAATATTCATATACTTTGTATAAATATTGTAAATCTAATATGATAATAAAACATTGACGGTTGAAATTAATGAAATTCACTGCTGTTTTTACGTTTTTGGGTTTTCAAAAAGGGACTAAACGGTTCATTCTCTTTTTAAATGGTCACGACTTCAATATGATTCCGTGAACTACTTATTTATGCCAAACTGATTAATCAGAGTTGTGCATTGATATCATTGGTTATAAATGTATAAATCTTTACCAGAGACATTATATGTCTCTGTCTTTATGAATGTTGACCCAAGCTGCCCTTAGGGGGTTGTAATGGGTGACACTCAGATATAATGTATACTGTGTCTGATAAGTCTGCACCGACTGGTGATGTTACAAAATGTTGTTTTTATTATGTATTTTACATGTATATTGTAATATCAGTGACACAAAAATAAACTATTTTAAAACTAAAACTAAACTATACATACACTGTAACTGGCTCATCTCTTGATAAAATATATGTAAAAACACACGTGCGCAACCTTTTTGCGTAGTACATGTATCACAGTACTCAATTACGTAATATTGTATTGTTATTTGTATGAATTCAATATGAAAATAAAAAGCTGAACTTATAAAAAATATATACATAGTATACACATGATTACTGTTCACTCTCTTATACAGTCTGCTTAAAATTCAACAAAAAATAAATGTGAGATTTTTACTAAAATACATGATATCCAACTTTTTCCTTTAGAGTACTTGTCCTCAGAATGGGAAGTGATGAATTTTCCGTTCCTCAGTTAACAGATCACACTTTCGAGTTTCAACATTTCGTTCGGTGCATTCGATCAGTATTGACTCCCCGGGATTAATAGTCTCTTCTCTGAGCTAGGAATGGTTATAAGTATGCGATCAGATCATTCAGAGTTAATTAATGGACGCAATTGTTATTATTACGACAAGACAGATTGCACTGAACGCTGGGGCAACCCTCAAAGCTGCTTCGGATGTATCTTTCAGCGAGGGACACGTTGGCACTGTGCCTGGTTCAGTTGTGTGTTCCATCTCTTCCTTTTTCATGTCCGGATTCCAGTTGCCACATTTGGGAAGTGTTGATGGAATGTCAGGCAGATCATCTGGCTCACCCACGTGCAAAACTACCCCCATACCAATCTCAGCATGGAACACTATATGGCAGTGAAGGAACCAATATCCTGTAAAATAAGCAATATATAACAATTATAAGTTCACTTCAACATATCAAGTTTGTTTTCCTATTATCATAAAAACATGAAATTTCATTGATTGGACTAAAAGCCAATTTCGATATGCCTCGGGTTTTATAGTATGCAATGCCTACTACTACCTCTATCTGAAGTGCAAAGATGTGTACAATTCGGGTAGGCATGGCATTCGATGGGACTCATGATCAATCAAACGATCCCTCTATTTTCTGCTGTATGCTACACAACTGAGCAATTGAACCGATTGAAATTGTTTGCTGGACACGTGCACGTACGTGGTGTGTGACACGTAAGTGACCAGCCCATAGGCTGAACAAACGCTACGCACCTGGGTTCCTTGCTACGAATCTTATGATAGTATACCCGCCATCCGGTACTGTCACGGAATCCTTCCTAACCACATTGGTGAATCGTCTCTCGATCTCTCCACGGGCGTCCATCTCTTTGAACGTGTCGATATGAAAGCCACTTGCATTCACCTTGTATAAGAAATAAAGTATTCGTTGAACAAAACGACTTTTTTGTTGGAATTATACTATCCATTCTGGTATATCAGTGAGATGGCTGTATCTTTGTTAGTCATATGAGAAAGAAATATCTAATCACTCCATCTATTTTTGATTGTGCGCAATTCCAAAATATGAGGTATCAAAATATCAATTATAAGGAAAGAAACTTGGGCCGTACTTAGGAAACTAGATAGGTCGAGACTAGATTAGTGGTAGGTTTGCATCTGAACCGTGGGGGTCACTGTATACACACTTTGGCGGGGCTCCTAGGCTGAACATTCACATATCAGTATGTTCCCATACCAATCTATCAAATTTCAATATATTCAAAACAACACCATCGTTATACCAAAGAAGTCAAAGGAGCACGTGGGTTATCGCAATCAATTTCAGAAGGTTATATCTTGGATTATGACTATTTTCTGACAATGAAGACAAGTTTATCTTTTAGATCAATTCATAATCTCAAAGAAAATTATGCACAGTAATAATAAATTCAAACAAACTCGGAGATATTTAACTAGCAATTAACCCATCAACACACTTTTTGACCCCATTTTGAAGATGTTGACCCCATTTTCACCAAAAATGCAATCATTTTTTACAATGTTTAATGCATTACTATTCTTTAATTTGATGTATCAAATAGTTCTTGAAAGAAAAACTTAATTGCATTAAGATAAGTGTTCCCCATGTTATTTCTCCATTGAAAAATCTCATGCTATCCATTGGTTTCAGTTCATTTTTCCAAATTGAATATCTTTAAAGTCCCTGGAGCAATCAAATTTTCCTTTTAGGAAATCAAACATGTCTCAAAGCACATTCTAATTATGCATTCAACAATATAATAATAGGTTGCATTTTTGGTGAAAATTAGGTCAACATTTTTGAAAAAGTATGTTGATTGGTCCATTGCCCCTTCAATATCACTTAGGTCTGATTAACTAGATTATCATTATATATACTTTTCTTGAAGATAATGAATGGATCTAAAAGATACACCCATGTGCATGATCAAAAAATATTCATAATTCAAGTTAGAACCGTTTGAAATTGTTTGCGATAACCTACGTGGTCCTTTTCATGAAATTCTCATACCAGATCCTAAAGTGTGGGTCAGTTACCATACCAAATGTTATAAACGATATCCAACCTTCGCAGGGGTTCCCCGTCAAGTTTTATATACAGTGAACCCACCTTGGCTTCTGAGAGGCTGAGAGACCTTCTGAAGACAATGGGATATATACAGTTGATGTGTCCATATAACTATGACATCACGTCGTCTAAACCAATCAATTTAAATAAAGTGCAGCCTACCCTTCTCAGGCCGACGACATGGAAAGCGTAGCCATGGAGATGCATGGGGTGGTTAGCATTGAACGTAAATCCTTGATCAACAAACACAATTTCAACAAGGCTGTCCAAGCCGACACGCAGCACGTGGGTGCATTCGCAGAACTTTTCTCGACATTCCCCGTGTAAAGATGTCTCGTTGCAGAATGTATCCTGGAAACAATAAACAGATGAACATATATGATACCCGATTACAAGCAAACGTAGAATGTGTTTTATCTGTTACAGGCATAGGCTTAATATGAAGTACGTGTACCTTGTAAAATCGCAAAACACATCATGAATGATGACATATGACAGATTTACAGTGGCGTAAGTACTTCTTGAAATATGAATGTTAAAGACAAAAACAAGTTGAACTTGAAATTAATTGTGATTAATTAATTGTTAATTGTTCAGTTACGCGTTCCAATGATTTCAATGAGTTTTCGTGATGCTATCTCTGAAAGTACATAACTTCAGTTCTAGGAAAGCAATTACCCTACTTTTTATTTCATTTGAAAGATGATAGATTGTCATTTTAGGAAATAAAGCATTTAGACACCAATAATTATCTTGAAAGGAAATTAACAATTTATCACAAAATGTCACGTTGACATTTGTTGAGGGCCTTTGCCCTACATCAGACATCGGATTAAAACAACTGATTGTCTATTAATCATAATAATCATAATATGATCCAAAATAGTCGATATAACATGATTTTCACAATTTCAGGAGTAACATCAGACTGTTGGCTTTCTAGTTCTGCTTAAAAGCTGGCTGGCTAAGCCTATGCGTTACACAATATAGCAGTTAAAGTGTATGAACAGTCGTTCCCGGCGAATGAGAATCTGGATAACATTATACACAGTGTAGGTGTACTCTATAATAAATGAATATGTCTCATACCTCAGTAATGTCTTAAGGTTGTGTAATAGGAGGGGATGATGGTAGAACCAAAGTAATTCCATTCAAATACAAATTATACATATAAATGGATGTGTATCATACCTCAGTAATGTCTTCAGGTTGTGTAAGAGGAGGGGATGATGGTAGAACCAAAGTAATTCCATTCAAATACAAATTATACATATAAATGAATATGTATCATACCTCAGTAATGTCTTCAGGTTGTGTAAGAGGAGGGGATGATGGTACACACTACCCTACCACATGACCACGTTTAAAAGGGAAACAGGGTACAGCTAAGTTGCAAATGGAGGACTTGGGTTTAATTCCATATTTCTGAACGTAAAATACATTTTACATTTATTTCTAGTATTCTACCAGACATAGAATTGATTCATCGAGCAGTTTGTAGAACATTGTTGGCAAAAAACCACTATAGGCAAAGATAGATAATAGTGGGCGCAGTGAAGCAAAACCCAATGCAATACACGATACATTTCAGTAAATCTATCAACGTACAGGGAGCATGTAAGTTTCCCTTCAAAAATGTTACATTGATATGTAACAAAAAACCCAGTTAACTGTTATTTAAACTACGTGTCATCATGTTATATGTGGATACGTTTTCCAGTATGTTATTCAACTGTATTTTTGTGAATTAATTGTTTTTCTAAAATCTTAAGATGCAAAAAACGTCGTCCCAGAAATGTATCTTTACTTTGCCGTAAGGCATAACATATTGTGAAACATTTTTCCTCTTGTCACAAACAGGATAATGTTTGTTTCGAGGTGTCTTGTGATGAGCGTTTCATGATTAAATGCAAAATCACTGGAGCAGATACCATCCAAAAACATCTGACATTCAACACGTCATCTAAGACTACATCGATCTGGTATTAGTTTATTTTACAATAATAGAGAAATACGATGTCAAATCAGCGCTACAGCAAATCGTGAAGAACAAAATGCTCTCAAGTCGTGGCATGATGGTATTTTGAACAAAATATTTTAAATGATCGGTTTTTGAGAAGGGTAGTGAATTAGACCATTCAAGGGGTTATATAAATCTACAAAATAATGTTTACTTTATTTGGATTAAATAACAATTGATGACACCTCAAAGCATCAACAGGCGGCCTTTTTAGCATTATTTTCGCTGTTGGCAACGTAAATGTACATGAGATCGGGACATAGTATGTCTGTATAATCAGCTTACTTCCTCGCTCCCTGTACTATTGAGCAATTTACATTCCTTGTACCCTGTATTGATCAACTTTTGCAACTGTGTACCGTGTACTATGACATATCAAATATTTTAAAATTTAAAACGATATTATTTACATTCTTTCTTCAACTATCATATAACTTGGAACATGGACTTCACTATCGCACCACTGAAGTTCAGCGAATAGCAATATTGACTCACTCCGAGCACCAAACGTATTAACCTTTTGACTAAGCAGTCGAAATACTCAAAAGCGACGTGGTTGAAAGCCAAAAAATTCGCGCATGCGCTATCGAGGTAGGGTAGTGTGTGGTAGAACCAAAGTAATTCCATTCAAACACAAATTATACATACAAGAACACAAATGTGTACAAAATGTCCCCACCTATGGGTGATCCTGTCAAATGGTTATCCTAAAAAAATGAGTAGACAAGACTTTACCGACACAATTTGATGACGGAAAATCAAAAATGGCCACCTTAAAATTTACCTAGAATGCCAAAAAACTAATCAGATCTAGATTTTCATACTAAGAATCATCCCTGAAAATTTGAAATTGATCTACAAAACGGTTCACCTAAAAACGCGTAGACAAGACTTTACGGGCAGGATTTTAAGACGGAAAATCCAAAATGGCTGCCTTGGCATTTATCCAGAATGCCAAAAAACTAATCAGATCTAGATTTTCATACTAAGAATCATCCCTGAAAATTTGAAATTGATCTACAAAACGGAAACGGTTCACCTAAAAACGAGTAGACAAGACTTTACGGGCAGGATTTTAAGACGGAAAATCCAAAATGGCTGCCTTGACATTTATCCAGAATGCCAAAAAACTGATCAGATCTAGATTTTCATATTAAGAATCATCCCTGAAAATTTGAAATTGATCTACCAAACGGTTCACCGGGAAATGCGTGGCAAAACTCTACAGACAAGATTTTAGGACGGAAAATCCAAAATGGCTGCCTTGGCATTTACCCAGAATGCCCAAATACTAATCAGATCTAGATTTTCATACTAAGAATCATCCCTGAAAATTTGAAATTGATCTACAGAACTGTTCACCTGGAAATGCGTAGACAAGACTTTACAGACAATATTTTAGGACGGAAAATCCAAAATGGCTGCCTTGACAATTACCCAGAATGCCAAAAAACTAATCAGTTGTACATTTTCATATTAAGGATCATCCCTGAAAAATTGAAATTGATCTACCAAACAGTTCACCTGAAAACGCGTAGACAAGACTTTACAGACAAGATTTTAGGACGGAAAATCCAAAATGGCTGCCTTGACATTTACCCAGAATGCCAAAAAACTAATCAGATCTAGATTTTTATACTAAGAATCATCCCTGAAAATCAAGAATTGATCCACCAAACGGTTCACCTGAAAACACGTAGACAAGACTCCACAGACAAGATTTTAGGACGGAAAAATCCAAAATGGCTGACAATAAAAAAGTGATCATGAGTTTTTGCTGATTTCTTTTTACAAAATTATCACATATAAATACTGTTAACAACAACATAGGCTTTAACAACAAAGTACATCTGAAATTATTTATGAAGCTACTAAATAGTTAGAATATAAAAACTCAAAAACACCATTCAATATGATACAAAGTATTATCGTGCGCTAACTTTTCTTAAGACATTCAAAATGGCTGACATGACTGAGCTAACAGGTCCAACACCTAATCAGATCTAGAATGAAGTGAGCTGAACAAGATGTTAAAGTTTTAAAAGCAACTGTGAAGCCGTTTTTCTTAAAGTTTGCAGACAAGGATTTTAGCATTTGACTTCAAAATGGCCGACAGGAAGTAGGTATCGAGTTAATTTTTTTTCATCCACATCTGTATGCACTCATAAGTTATCCCTGAAAATTTGAAGGTGATATCTGTAGCGGTTTTGGAGAAAACTCCCGGACGTACGGACGGACAGACGGACGGACGGACCGACAGACGGACGGACAGACGGACGGACGGACGCGCCTAGGCCGACAATATGGCCCCACACTATGTGGTGGGGACATAATAAATGGACATGTATCATACCTCAGTAATGTCTTCAGGTTGTGTAAGAGGAGGGGATGATGGTAGAACCATAGTAATTCCATTCAAATACAAATTATACATATAAATGGATGTGTATCATACCTCAGTAATGTCTTCAGGTTGTGTAAGAGGAGGGGATGATGGTAGAACCAAAGTAATTCCATTCAAATACAAATTATACATATAAATGAATATGTATCATACCTCAGTAATATCTTCAGGTTGTGTAAGAGGAGGGGATGATGGTAGAACCAAAGTAATTCTATTCAAACACAAATTATACATATAAATGGACATGTATCATACCTCAGTAACGTCCTCATGTTGTGTAAGAGGAGGGGATGATGGTAGAACCATAGTAATTCCATTCAAATACAAATTATACATATAAATGAATATGTCTCATACCTAAGTAATGTCTTAAGGTTGTGTAATAGGAGGGGATGATGGTAGAACCAAAGTAATTCCATTCAAATACAAATTATACATGTAAATGAATATGTATCATACCTCAGTAATGTCTTCAGGTTGTGTAAGAGGAGGGGATGATGGTAGAACCAAAGTAATTCCATTCAAATACAAATCATACATATAAATGGATACGTCTCATACCTCAGTAAAGTCTTCAGGTTGTGTAAGAGGAGGGGATGATGGTAGAACCAAAGTAATTCCATTCAAATACAAATTATACATATTAATGGATGTGTATCATACCTCAGTAATGTCTTCAGGTTGTGTAAGAGGAGGGGATGATGGTAGAACCACTATTCAAATACAAATTATACATGTAAATGGATAAGTATCATACCTCAGTAATGTCTTCAGGTTGTGTAAGAGGAGGGGATGATGGTAGAACCAAAGTAATTCCATTCAAATACAAGTTATACATATAAATGAATATGTATCATACCTCAGTAATGTCTTCAGGTTGTGTAAGAGGAGGGGATGATGGTAGAACCAAAGTAATTCCATTCAAATACAAATCATACATATAAATGGATACGTCTCATACCTCAGTAAAGTCTTCAGGTTGTGTAAGAGGAGGGGATGATGGTAGAACCAAAGTAATTCCATTCAAATACAAATTATACATATTAATGGATGTGTATCATACCTCAGTAATGTCTTCAGGTTGTGTAAGAGGAGGGGATGATGGTAGAACCACTATTCAAATACAAATTATACATGTAAATGGATAAGTATCATACCTCAGTAATGTCTTCAGGTTGTGTAATAGGAGGGGATGATGGTAGAACCAAAGTAATTCCATTCAAATACAAATTATACATATAAAAGGATATGTAGCATACCTCAGTAATGTCTTCAGGTTATGTAAGAGGAGGGGATGATGGTAGAACCAAAGTAATTCCATTCAAACACAAATTATACATATAAATGGACATGTATCATACCTCAGTAATGTCTTCAGGTTGTGTAAGGGGAGGGGAGGATGGTAGAACCATAGTAATTCCATTCAAATACAAATCATACATATAAATTACATGTATCATACCTCAGTAATGTCTTCAGGTTGTGTAAGAGGAGGGGATGATGGTATAACCATAGTAATTCCATTCATCTGAGGACTGTACAAGTGTTTCTTCCTGGAGATCTGATATATGGGGTAATATGTAGGGTTGTGAAAATACTCGTTGTCAACTTTGTTGAAGTCCATAGCTGAAAAATGAATTCATTAAAATCTGTTTAATCGACGACGTTTTCAAAATAATTATACATTTATTTCTAAGGTATCGGCATCTTCACTTGCCGAACTCTGTGGAAGTTTCATGTGCTTGCGATCGATTGGGCACAAGGGTTAAGTTAAAGGGATAATCAGCATTAATTGCTGATTAATTAATTGCAATTAAGTCCCTTTATTAATAACCAATTAAAAATTGCAAAATTCCCTGTGATGAACTTGACCTTCCTTTAACTAATGGAATTAATCCCAGAATAATAATTTCTGTGATTTTAACAAGTTTTTTTTACAGATTTCCTGTCCACGGCCATGTTGAAACAGCCATACTGAGATTGCACTGAAATGGTACTGCGTGTGACGCTGATGATCTGGAGTGCCACTATATTGCTATATACAGGGTCTCCAAAAAATTCTTTCCAATTCCAACGAAATGTTAATGTAAAGTGGAAAAATACTTCATTGACACCCTGTATAATTATGACGTCATTTACCATTCGACATCAATAGAATAATGGTGGCTTACCAAGGTGAAGCTGATGGTCCGGGGTGCCACTGATTCTTTCGTCATCGGGATCCAAAGACATAAGCTCTGACACTGGAATGTGCATGTCTGACTTTTTGGTGTTCAAAGGGTTAAGTTGCTGTAAAATACAAAAGAAAACACGTTTGTTCCAGCTTCTATTGATGTACCATTTGGTTTTGAATAGTCGGAGCCAGGTTGTACTTAAAAAGACTAGGACAAATTCCCAGCAGACAATATTATTCTCACCACCGGTGTAAAAGGGTAGGTGGTCCTATCAAATTTTGGTCCTACTCTCTATTGATTTATATGGTGACCTAATTACAATTATTTTCCTTATTATTTATACACAGTCAGGGCCAGTAAGGGCCGTAAGGAAAGGGGACCAAATCCCCAGGGGACCATAATTTATTTTACACCGGTCAATTGGTGAAGTAACAATTTGTGATATAAGTATATGGTATAATCAGGATTGGAAAAATATTGACAAAGACACTAATCAGTGACAAGTGTCAAATATGTAGCAAAAGCACTAATGGGTTCTTGGAAATGATTGCCAAATGAAAGCACCAATCAGTGACAAGTGTCAAATATGTAGCAAAAGCACTAATGGGTTCTTGGAAATGATTGCCAAATGAAAGCACCAATCAGTGACAAGTGTCAAATATGTAGCAAAAGCACTAATGGGTTCTTGGAAATGATTCAAATGATAAGTGGCAAAAACGCCAAAACGTATTTGCAGAATGGCAAATAGTTTCGAAGTAATGGCGTGAACCTACCCTGTATATAAGTCACAAAACATGACATGACGTTTCAATGGGTACTTGCTAAATGTCAAATTGGGTATAAAGTAGCACAAGGAGTAATAGATATTTGCAAATGGGCCAAAATAATCATAAATGACAATAAACAGAACAAATCATGTTATATCACACATATGGCAACAAACTGACATTTCACAGTCTTGAAGAAACATGGGAAATGTATGCGTGATGCGGATGTATCAGAATAGCTATGTTGAACCGGTAACAGAACTAACGAAAATAACAAACTAAAATAAAAGATCATTCGCTGTTTTAAATTTTCAAGTTATGCAATTAAGTTTAAATCAAATTAATCAAAAACAGAATTTAGATACTAAGGCTCGTATACCTTAAAGGTGCATTAATCAGTGCAGCGGGGTCATACGACGATCATGGACCAGTGTCAAAATATATTTAAGTTTGGATATTTCATCAAGACTAACATCTATTTTTATTATCTACAAAGAAACGCCATAGATAAACATTATTTTAGCTGATATTCCTCTTGAAACATGGTGGGTTTTAAAAATATAAAAGTGGAAGTCCCCTTTTTGAAGCTTTGAACTGAATTTACACTTCTTAATGCTGAAATTGATAATTTATCCATACATTTTAAGAAAATAGGTATGTCAAAAAAGATGTAAAACCAAATGTTGCCTTTAAAAATTCCCATTTTCTCTACAGTCCTTATTGCCCCTTTAACTATATTATATTACTTAAGATAAGTATTTGTGAAGTTACCTCTGTCAAGAAATAAGGAATATACTAAATGCAACATAATGATCTAGAGCCCTTCAAATATATGAGGTTACGCGAACCGGAAGAAAGGTCAGCAGACATTACTCAACTTGGAATTTCCAAAGCAGAGTGAGTCATCGCTTTATGAGTCACACAGCTTTCACTCTACTATACCTTGCATTTGGTGTTCATGAGCAACCCATTTGGCTTATTAGTAATGATTATGTATTTGCTTTTATTTCTCTGTTCCTTATTAATGGTTTACCAGTTGAAAGTTAGATGTTAATAAGGTACTTTCAAAAATATACTAAACAATACAATTGGACAAACAAAGTATCTTATGCATTTCTAGGTGTTAGGTATAGTAGTGTGCTTTACAAATAAACGTGTTCTTAGAATAAAAGGATTGTATGCGAGGCTATTAAGAAGAAAGCTGTCGAACCTGAATAAATGAAATGAACTAATCGAATAAACGGCGTCTTTCAATATTAACATTCGCACCAGCAAGACGCATAATTGAGTAGTGCGTGCGAGTCCAGTATTTCTAGTACTGGAGTTGATAGCATCATATTATCGTGTTACAGAAAAAACGAAATGCAAAGTACAGACTTGTGTCATACTGACCTCAGATACTGAGAGTCTAAAGTACAGCAATATTGCTGTGGAATCGACTGATGAGAGGAATGGAGTTTCAGCTAAACAGTGTTAAGGATTAATTGATGAGTTGATTGGAGAGATCTATAGTTGCTAGACTGATGTAGATGTATGGAAAGTCGACTGACTAGAGGTAGGTTGAATAGGTTCACGTTTAAAGCAATGATAATTCATAATATAATAGTAACCCATGGTGGTGAAGGAGAGCTAAACGCGTATGAGGGATTGAGGGTTTTAATGAAAATACTAGGCAAACATCCCGGTTGCTCGGGTTGTTACCTGCATCTCATTCGAAAGGTTAGTCTTGGTGATCTTGGTTGTTGTTTGCGAACGTGGGAGAAATTACCCAGAATTGAAAGATGAACGGATCTTCACATCAGGGTGAACTTCAGGTATATTTCACATGAAGGCTAGCCATATTCAGGGTTGTTTCTCTTTTTGTTGGAGTGAAAAATTCAGATCTGGAGCAATATGGTATTACAGGTCACCAGGACCTAATATGAGGGTGACTGGAAAAACGAGACAAAACAATCCTCAGACAATTGCTGACGTAAATAAGGCAATCCCTGCTAGATTTAATGTCATGACAAGGGCTGCATATGTACGGGTATCTTGCCATAAGAATCAAGCTCTACTTGGTCTCAAGTTTGGAAAATTGGAGCATGTAATATAAATGATCACGGGTCCTGGACCAGTTAACTTGTTATATTGAAACTTTCAGGAACAAATTTCCATAGAACTGTTCTGGTATGTGCAAAATTTCATTGGTATCACTTGTCTAGTTTAGGGGATATTGTCTACTTTAAAGGGAATGCGAAGTTTTGTCCCTTAAACTTGATAATAAGTTAGAATAAAGATATATCTTTCAATTCAACTTAGTTTTATTGTTCTACCATTATCCTTCTAATTGTTATTGAGCCCCGGGTTTTGCATATGAACTGGACCACGGAGCTGCCATTTCAACCGTAAAGTGGTTCTTTACAACATTGTTATGACGTCATTGATGCCAGATTGATGCCTTGGCATTCCAAGGAGGATTGGCTCCCAGAGTGCACCACCGATATTCTGTCCCATATATGGGTATGTCGTAATACAAAATTCGAATTCAAACAGCCGCCATTTTGTTCACTTCAACATTTAAATCGTGAATTTTGGTCTTATTTCCAAACGAAAAATTCCAAAACTCACAAGAAATGATCGAGATATTGGTTCAAATCTTTTGAACTGTTTATTTTGAATTTATAGTCGGTTTTAATTTCAGAAAATAACGACATTTCGACGTTTTCATTGTTGGAAAATATCGAGTTTCGATCCTGGGAGCCAATCCTCCTTGTTGGCATTCCAAAAGTTTTGTGGCGCCATTTTTGAATCCAAAAATGAATGCCGAGTTGTTGCCATTCCAAAACCAAAGAAATCATTTCAAAGGAACTAAAAGAATACGTATATACCACCCATAATAAAGAACGATTTCAATAGAATATTAACGCCGGCATTTTCGGAATTGCTTTTTACCTATCTAGACATGGAATGCAGGTTAGATTTATTCTTTATTTAAACTTGAAACAATCTGGGATTCGTGACTTTTTAACTTTTATTAGGTCTAGCGCTAAATGCGAACAGAGAATGCTAATTCTATGAGGCGAATGCAAACTATTTGAATAAAACATGATAAAATTAATTCAACCAACCCATCTTGAATTTCCAAGAATGCAATGGTTTAATTTGCTAGTCTCATTACAAAAATACGTGTTCGTACTTTAATATTCATTGCATTTATGTTTATCTTTAACACAGGTATTCAAAGAAATTAAAATTTTAAAATTAAATTTTAAAACCGTATTCATTTACTATCATGGATTCTTAGCCTCACGTAACATTTTTGGATTTCTACGTTTGCCTAAGTATTTCTGGCAGTCAGATAATGTAGCAGTCACATTTGCTAAGATAGCCGTACAGCGTATCTTGATTATGAGGAAAAACTACGATTCCCGTACGGCTGATAAATGATGACGCCCGATCAGCGTAGGGTGGCCCTACGACGTGCGTAGTTTTTCTTCAATTGTAACCTATGAAATCCAAGCGCAGCCGCAAGTCGACCGTGAACCCGACGTACGGCCGTCGTGAGACCTACGGTTTGGCTGCTGCTTGTTGATATCTATGGTGACCACAGGAAAGAAAAGTTATAACTCCGACTCTACGCCTTGTAAAAACTGGATATGTCGTGTACGTAGACAGCAAGGTGACCTTAAGTCGACTGTAGTTTTCCTATGTTTGCCGCAGAAATTTACTGATTTCAGGGAAATACGATCGACGTGTGGTCGCATTGAACAAATGTGACTGAAGCTTTTACAGTTCCACTTATTTTCCGATATAGAAAAACAAAAGGTTGTATGCCATTGAATTGAAAATCAATATTTCGAAAATACTGTAGAACTGTACTTACCACGGATGTTATATAATTAAATTCGGGCTCGAAATCAGGAATTGTTTTTAACAAAAAATAAATATATAATAAAATAAATATTAAACTATTGGCGTACTATCAATACGGCAATTGCCTTATCGTCGTTGAAATGAAATATCATACTACAATCCCCCATCGTCTCCCCGCATCACTGAATGTTATGAGCCTTCTCTTGCCATGATCCAAGGTGAAATACCATTGAATTTTGAAAAGCTTTTTTGTCATATCGAATGTTGCTACAGTGATATGATGATTGAAATTGGTCGTTTAACAACTGAGAAAAATTAAACATTACGTATTATTCTTTGAAAATATGACAGTGGCATGTCCTTGTAAAGCTATTACCAATCTTAATATTTAGGAGATTGACATTTCTCGTACATACGTATCATTTAGACGACATCGATTTTTCGTTTTTTTGTTTGCGTTTTTCATCAGAATTTAAATGGCTAAACACTTTAGGGAGTTACTGTTTCATTGGATTACTACTTTTTGTTTTCATTCTCCAATATGCCCTATTCATATTTGAATAGAATACTACAGATTGAAGAAATCTACCGTTTATGATTAGGTAAGAACGCAATTGCGGCAGTATGCCTATTTACCGACGTAAACCTTAAGGTTAATAATGATGTGCCGTAAATGCTCATCTCAGCGCATTAATGAACATTAGCATAGTTTTTGATATTTAAATGGTATGTCGCGTATTTACATAAATATGGTAAATGCAACTATTTGTTGGATGCGTTCAGCCTATGATATAACTTACTTATTTTCACCACAAATACGCCAACACATTAGCCACATTAATCTTACTTAAATAAATCCCCATTGATGCACAGCAATGCATTTATGTGTAAATGCCATTTTGTATATTTTAATGCATTTACCTCATTTATTGGTTAAATATACAAGAAAGCATTTACAGGATTTGAACAGATTTATCCTTTTTGACTGAGTGTTATTATATAAAATAATTCTAGTGGATATTTTTCAAGTGGAATATAATGCGATGTCTTCCAAATCGCGCAGCCGATATCTCATAAGTTTACTGATTTTTCTACCTAGCCTATACTATATCACATTGGAGAAAATAAAAACAAACATTTGAAAAAATACATTGCAACAATTCAATTTCTATGAAGAATATATTGAAACAACTTTTCGAAATATATGACATGATATGGACATGAACATGAACATACGGCAACAATGTTAAGCGGACAGAAACAGTTATAAAATATCAGTGAAATGTGTTCTATTTCTGCGATCCGAGTATGACGTGATTATATAGCGACATTTCCCAGGCATCAATTTTAAGGCATCAATGACGTCATTGATACATAACAATGGCGGCATCCGCAGCGATCCAGATATGGGTACTTTGAACTTGAATTATATGTTAGTTCAAACACGATATGTCCCATGAGTGAGCTGAAGTGATAGATGATGGTTATAAGTAGCCAGCGTGTAAATTAGAACATGAAACTTCGCATTCCCTTTAATGGTCTCCTTTTTCCGGTCACTCGGTACAACGTTCAATTTGCAAAAGGTCATTTAAATAAGGGGTTACGATTTTTGGCCGAATATGGCCGAAGAGAAATCCTACCTAACCCTATCCCAAACCCTTATCCTCAAGAAGAATCGGAATTACACCAGGCCATCTTCGATTGTGGGGCATAAGTGATCTCCTCTTTATAAATACAAGTACATTTAATTATACTCTACTACATCACTTTACATTTTCTGCCCAAGGTCTAATTAAAAAGTGAATAATACTTAATTTATAGTCAATTTATTGAGTTGATGACATTGAGTACCAAGAGGTGAGAGGAGCCAATATGCAAAAACCCATCTGCATGTAAAACTAATTTCCCCCTCTTTTGACAACCTTGACCCTTGACTCCTGTACAGCTATAGTTTATTGACACTAGATACTATTTTGGGAGTCATGGTGACACTCAGTGCAACAAGCAGCCTGTATGAGCTTTAAGCAGGCAGTATTCAATAACAAAATTCCCATGTTTTAACTGATTAAGACGCAGGTATACTCCATTCAGTACATTAGGGGGATAACACTTCTTTCTTTGTACGACGGGGCCTAATGTATGTATTTAAAGGATCAAGTAAACCTTTAAACACTTCGAAGCTGATCAATAACCTTGTATATTCCATCATGGACCTTTTACACGGGTGTGTATAATTTCCACCTATCAGCCCTTACATTTTTGTCTTTGAATATTGCTGGCTCGAAATAATGGTATCATAAATCAAGTTCAATGTACTATATTTCCCTTGATTAACCAAGATGGTTAGGATTTACTGGACAGGTACCAAAATGGTCAAAATTTACTAGGCAGGTACCAAATGGTCAGGATTTACTAGACAGGTACCAAAATGGTCAGGATTTACTAGGCAGGTACCAAAATGGTCAGAATTTACTGGAAACGTACGATTTTATAGTTCGTTCACATGGTTTTTGCATTTCGTCAGAAGTAATGTTTTAAGAGACTCGGCATTACTCAGAAGATAGATCCTCTTGACATCGTTGTCTTCGTAAAATCACTTCATGATCAAGTGTTTTTCTGATAACCATAACTGATATGATAACATGCAGGATAGACAAGTAAAGGTAAAGCAATTTCGGTCCTTTCAGACATAACTTTGTTTAATAGTGTTAACAATTTTGCAATTTGTTTAAACAAACCAAAGAATATATAGGATATTTCATATTTTGAGCCACATGCATGATGATGTATACATGCTCATTTCCATTTCTCGTTACAAGTACATGTTACTCAGTACTACTAGCGCTTGTTATTCAATACTATAAGACAATATATTTCGCGCCATTGTTAAATAATTAAAATTTTTATTTTTGTCTTTTCATTGCAGTAGGAACGATTGCGTCCATTACGTCCCCTCAGCCACAAAACAAAACTGCATAACTATAAAAGAAGGCACGAGAAGAGCGTCACAGACAGAACAACTTACCCGATGGCTGTGTTTTAATAGTATAGAAACAGATATATGTTTTGATTAACACACCGTTGGTCAAGCGAGTCCCGATTGACTACAACTACATGTACCTGAACCAATCCTTGCTTACGGCAGTGTTGACTATTATACTGTTGTTATAGCAGCGACATTACAGCCATGAAGACAGACATGATTATGCTCCTAGTCATTTTGAGTGTGTTTCTTTCGTTCACATCATCTGTCTTTCCGGTGAAACTAGACGCTGGCAGAGATATAGCTAAGGGTCTGGACAGCATTAAAAGCAAATCATACTGTCCTAGAGTGTGTGAGTGTAAGAATAAGATAGTGAAATGTATCAATAATAAACGTGCTATTCGTCAAGTCCCGAGCCATATTCCTAACGACACCCTTGAACTCTACCTTAACGGCAACGCTATTACCAACATCCAGTCGGGGTCTTTTGCCGGATTGGTCAATCTTACTAAACTCGATTTGACCAATAATATCATATCTTCTATTGCCATGGGGACGTTCGATTCTCTAAGACAGTTAAAGACACTGTATTTGACACAGAACAGTGTCCAAGAATTCGACGGAAGGCTTGTGTCTCGTTTAACCAAACTACAAAAGATTCATCTGAATCAGAATACGCTCCATCGTATCCCAGATCTGAGCGCCTGCGTCGACTTGCAGTATCTATCATTGGAAACCAACCTCCTGAAAAATGTCACATTTCCCGAAGGCTATCAGAAACTGAAAAATCTATCTACTGTAGTTTTGAATAAAAACTTGAAGCTGACTAGCTTAAGTAAAGCGGATTTTAGAAACCTTCAGTTTTCAAAAATGCGAAAGTTTACGATTTCAGGTTGCAAAATAAGCAAAGTAGAGAATGGAACATTTTCCTTCTTCAGTAAGCTATCATCTCTCAGTATAGGGTATAACCCTTTAGATTCTGATCAGTTGGCCGTCATTCTTAAAGATATGTCTAAATCACGACAGTTAGTAGCACTGGACGTATCTAGCATATCATTTGATGGCAGCCTACCACTTGGCATATTTGACTCGATGAACAATACCAATCTACAGACGCTGACGATGCGTCATAATGACATTAAAACAATTCAAAGTAAAGCGTTCTCAACGCTGAAAACATTAAAAATGTTGGACATAAGTTTTAGTAAGATAGCGGGATGGGAAGAAGAGGCATTTTCTGGACTCAAAACACTCACCGATCTCAGGCTCTTCGGAAACGCTATATATACCTACCATGAGGGTACATTTCCCTCTACTCTCAAGAAGCTTGACTTGAGCTACAATTATAATGTTAAATACATTTCTGACTACACATTTGATAATCTCAGAAAATTGACCGAGCTTAGGCTTCACCATAATGCCATCATCGGTATCTATAAACGGGCCTTCAGCGGACTGTTTAGCGTTACCAAACTAGACCTATCACATAATAAACTTGCAGGAAATGCCCTTGCTGTTCAAGCCCTTAACCCGATGACAAACCTACAGATAATTAATCTAAATAACAATAACTACAAGAAAATAGTGAACGAGGATAAACTCTTTCAGAATCTACCCCAGTTGCGTCAGTTGGATCTCAGTAACAATGACTGTGAGGAGATCCCAATAGGATTGTTTTTCAAGCTAACCAACCTTCAATATCTCAATTTGAGAAACAACAACTTCGGAAAGATTCTTTCGAATGGGTCAATGTCAGTTATATTCAAAGACCTTATCAAAGTGGAAGAAATTGATTTGAGTATTAATAGCATCGAACTTCTTCCACCATCGCTACTTAACAACACCAAGGGCCTAACCAAGTTAAATCTAGTTGGAAATATGGTTTCTCACTGGGAACCAAACTTCTTTGATGCGACAGAGAATCTCAAAGATTTAAATCTCGGGAACAATCTTATCTCTTTGGTAAATAGTTCCTCAATGAAGGGACTACTTTCTCTAGAGCGGATGAATCTTAGCGGAAACCCATTTGCCTGCAACTGTGACCTTGTCTGGTTCAGATTATGGTGGGTCAACTCGACTAATATCACATTTCCCGGATTGTCAAAAATGATGTGTAACTCGCCAAAGAATCTCGCCGGTACATACTTCATGGATTTCGACCCTTCTACCTTGGACTGTGTGGATCACACCATTTTGATGGTGATAGCATCTACAGGAGTTGCTACTTTGCTGCTGATCGTCATTGGATTCACTTATCATAGGTAAGTTGCTTAATTATGAGGTGTCTTTGAGATTCTGGCACACCACAGAACAAGGAACTCCTATCTTATTCATTCTTTCTCATATTTCAACATGTTTGACTGACACTATATACAAAATAGGTAGTATAACGTAAACCTAAGAATCTATGTTTGAACTCCAGCGAGACTAACGGGATGGGACTAACTTGACTGGTACTTTGACCAGCCTGAAATATTTCTCTTTATACTACTAGTTGCGGTTTCTTTGTAATTATGAATTTACTTAAATTAAGTGCTCTCTTTCTAGTGTCCCGTTCTTGTATCTTCAGACTCAAATTCATGTTCAAAGCATTATAAAATTTATTTATTTGACATTTGACATTGATGAATACAATACAACCGACAGCTTTTTCCGAATTTGTTTTCCATTTGGAAAATATTGGATTAGCCTATCATTATTTGCTATAGGGAAGGTTGCAATTCTCACATTACTTGATGTCTCGACTCGTAAAGATGCATATTGTGAAATTGTTCTATGTGTTATTTTGCCTCTGACCCTATCATTGACGATGTAAGAGCGAGCCATTTTTTATAGAATTGTTTGTTATCAATTTATTATATTCTTGCAGACACCAGTGGTCAATTAAACTACGACTATATCGTGCCTCGAAATACCTACATTCCACCAATCATCAAAGAGGATACCAGCGCGTAATGACGTATGACGCTTACGTCATCAACGCACAAGCAGACGATAGATGGGTCATTGACAACATGCTTCCGAATATAGAAGTAGCCATAAATGATGACCCAGAAAACAGGATCAAGTTATACTTTGATACACGTAACTCCGTTCCTGGAATGCCAAGGATAAAGAATTATGCGGAAAATATGGACATAAGTCGAGTTGTGATTGCTGTCATTTCAGACAATTTCCTAGATGACAATTTTAGCTTGTTTCAACTATCCGAAGCCAACCATATTGCTATTAAAGAACAGAGACCATTACTTATTGTTTTCCTGGGTGAATCAGTAAAAACAAAATGCCCAAGAGAATGTCGGAGATACGTGGATAATAATGAATGTGAAGTCTGGGTAGATGGAATAGAGGGTCAAGAGGACGGACAGCGGTTGCTATGGGAACGGTTGAGAGAAAATATTTGTAGAGACAGGCAAATCGGAGCTTTGCAAGGAGGCCACGATGCAGAACTTAATCCACCAGTTTAATTCATACGCATGATACGAGTTAAAATATTTGGGCAAAGCGTTTCTATCTCAACACATTTATCATACATTCCATTGTATATAGTCTTTTACGATGTTACCATAGCAGCAACGGCAAACAAAGTTTCACAAATTATAGGTCGAGTTATTAATGAGTGACGCTTCCAGGGGCCTTACATACCTTGCCTTCCCTGCCAGTGTCCTCGTACCCCGTTGGCCCCGGAGGATTCTCATTAGCGGCACCTTCATAGCGGATAATGGCGGTCTGGTGAGCCTGGGCCCAACTTGGTGAACAATCAGCAAGCCCTAAACAAACATCATATTAACCTATTAATCAATATTAATATTTTTGTTGATTGCTTTAAGCACACCCCTTGAATGAGCTTACTAACTAGTTACTTTGACGGAACGTCAATGTAGCTAGATTTAAACCTATTTATAAGTCAAATTGCAGATTATAATGTTGCGCAAATCTAGAAAATATAGTTTAAGAAATGCCTTCGATTTAAAATTTGGTTGTTAAATGAAGTTGCATCCATAAACGTATATTTTGTTTCTCCCTTTTGTTAGATTGACGAAAATCAGTTATATTACCAATGTCACTTTGACTTGAACTTCTGCCAGTGTAACAAAAGCGAGGGACTAATTGTATGAATTACGTCTTCATAAATCCTTCCAAAACCGAAGGTATTTTTCAAAGCTAGACTAACTTTATGCCAACTTATAATCTGCAACCTAACTTGTAAGTAATTTAAATAGAGAAAGCTAAGAACTCGTGTCCATGAAGTCCATCCATTTTGTTACATGTACATTGAAGTTCCGTCAAAGTTATTAGTTGTGGAACAGTCGAGACACTAGTACCAATATGTAATCGTTGTATTATAGTGGACTTCGGTACATTAATATCGATAATTAAATTATAATTTATTCATCTCTCGCTTGCACTGACATTCACCACTAAGTTTTTGATAAAAAATGGTCTGAAAAAGTTTTGATTTAGTTTCAAGATAATGCTTACTGTTATCAATATCAAATCATTTCAATTTGGTCTTCATCATTTTATGTTATATTTGTTTTCCAAAAAGTCCAACAGTTCTGAATTCATTTAAGGAAAATCCTTCAATATTTTACATACCTTTCAATTTCATCCAGTAGTTGCTGACGTTCTGGTTTGCATTGAGGACGAAGTCATACCTTTCACCAGCAAATATGATGAAATTCTCAACCTGTCAAAAGAAGTACAAAGGTACACTCCCCTCCATACGTTTGGCAACCTTAGCTCCCCCATTGAACTACGTGTTAAAGCCTCTTTACCTTTGAATTTTTATTTACTTAACCTGCGATGAAAATATTTATACTATTTTTATCTCAAATAGGATTGCAATTTTGATTTAGTTTTCAGATTTTCAATATAAGTTATGACGTCAATGTGAGCGCAAACCCTGGACCAAGTGCCCCTACCACGGGGTAGCAAAAATGTGATTATAGAATTTTCTGTTGATCAACCATTCTGAAAATCCTGTTGTATAGGCATATAAATTATGTGAATCGTGTAACAATTTCAGGGGATTACCTTTACTTAAGAAAAGGATACAGCGTTTTTATCAGAACTCCTGGATCGGCCTTTATATAGTCCCAATTGAGAAAAAATGCCGGAGTTATGGGGAAAAATTATAAAAAATGTTTATACGTGAAATTCGCAACGTTTGCATAAATCGTGCTGTTCTTACACAAATATGTCTTACCTCAACAGGTTCAAATGGACTACCATCAGTTGCTATCATAGTGAGGTTATGTCCGTCGACTGATACCTGTATTGGACAGTTAAGGATGCCGTTGTTGATCATTCTGTAAAAATATAGGAACAAGTAGACAACATTTAGTATAGTGGCGGTAACCGGTAACCGAAAACTGAAGTGTGTGTAAAGGAGGTTTAAAATTTTTGAATTTTTTCAATAAGTAAGTCATTGAAGTCAACGACACATACCTAAACCTGTATCGCTTGCCCTTTGCAATAGTGAACACCTCTTTGGGAGTGTATGCTTCTTCACCAGTTTCGGCGTCGGTGTGCAACTTCCAAGCCCCTTTGCCTAAAATTACATCCAAGTCAAGTCGATATGTGATCAAGTTAAGCTGATTACAGTCAAGATGTAAAAAATATCACATCATTTTCTTAAGTTATCGAAGCTTGAAAAATTACTGACATAAAGTTTATTAAGTTTATCACGTGCATATTGTCAACTCCAACATAGAAATTATTCATTTTGAACACAAAAGTCTATGAATTGATCATGGTTACTACAGACGAAAAGTTAATGTCAAAGCCTATCATATTATATTTAAATATATCTCTTTTACCAGTTCCATATTAATATGAATTTAAAATACTACAGCTGGTTACTTGGATCGGGTTACAGTGAATAGCTTAGAACTTGTCAATACCGTTTATAAGCATAGATTTTGGTTTATTGTCTCCGTCGTCATTGTGATGTGCAGTAAATCTGTTCACCGTCATCTCAACTAGCCAATCGGTAACCATAACAACGTGTTCCGGTAAGTCGTAGTCATAGTTACCACTATGTGCGTCACTAGCGTTTTCTTCACGTACGATTAATGGGCCAAATATGCCATCAGCACGTTGCAACCCTGAATGTCCGTGGTAGAAATGTGTCCCTCTATAATCAGCCTTAAACCTGGTTAATATAGAAAAAGGGTCGGTAATATAATATACACCAGTTTTTGAATTCTTAGGTTTAAAAATCCTGGAGTGGGCTTATACTCTGTAGATAACATTAGTTCTTCAGGCTATTAAAAAATGCTCATTAATGAAACATTTGTTGAAAAAATCTCAATGGTAGCATATTGACTGGTAGGTATGGGTACATATAGGTTACTGATGGGGCAGCTGTAGGATACACGCGGTGAACCACCCCCCCCTCCCTCCCTCCGGTAGCGTAGTATTAGTGTGTACATACTTGTATTGGAATGATGTGTGTGGTGGTATAGGGCATTGTGTTAACATAGAAACGCCGTACATGTGTGGTGTATTCTCTTGATGTTGACCATGGCAGTGTATAGACGTCCCCTCCCCCCTCCGGTAGCGTAGTATTAGTGTGTACATACTTGTATTGGAATGATGTGTGTGGTGGTATAGGGCATTGTGTTAACATAGAAACGCCGTCCATGTGTGGTGTATTCTCTTGATGCTGACCATGCCAGTGTATAGACGTCCCTTCCCCATTGGATATCTTATTATGCAAATTAGCTACGATGGTGTCGCCCCTACATACCTGAAACAAATGAAAACGTTTGAACTTAACACACGTCTTTATTTTTATTAACATCTGGCATTCGGATGTCCGGAGCTATGGATACATATCGATTCATAAAATATGCACCAAAAAGATATACCGCATTAATTCCTTTTTATGAACCCTGTAGCATTCTGTAAATGTGCAAGTTAAGTGAAATGGTATAAAGTCAAATCAAGCTCATTAAAAACGTTTGCTTTAACAACAACTGATATATCAACCCACAAAATATACCCTTTACTTACAATTATTGATGGCGAGGGGATCATTCTATTGATTGTCAATACAGCTTTCTCAGCGCCATCTGCCGCCACACAATGAGGTCGGGCGCAATCTGTGGCGTTGAACGGACAGTTATAACAAGCCTTGGTAAGCACGTGGTACCACTCAACCGTGAAGTCATACTCGCACGTGCGCACTGTTCCGTTACACTCTCTAATGCATTCATGGTCTTTGTAATCTACGAATGAATGTAAATACTATTGTTAAAAAGCACAACAGGCTTCCAATCCACTTAAATGTCCATAGGATGATATTCATCAAGATAAACCATGACATCTCAATTCTTCTCAGTCCTGAGATGCCATGATATATTGAGCTTGATTTGGCGATCAAGGAGAGCCAAAAACTGAGGATTTTTGAGATATTTCATCTCAGCTCATATTTCATCTAATTGGGGTCATAAAACTTGTTTACCTATGTCTGTTCTAATATCTGCTGTTAAATACAATGCCTATTATGTAATGTATTGACATTAGGTAAATGATTACATGAGAACTATCACACTTATCACTTATTAGTTATATATCAATTATAACTCTTCCCACCTGACGTGCTCGGATCATAGAATATGCCTCATAATATCATAAGTGAAACTGATGAAAGATGCTATGAGTATCAGAATGGATGACAAATTAAATTCCGAATGTTCATTGTTAACTACAGTATCTCGGATGATTAAATTAAACGTGTTGAATTTGTCAAAATCACCAAACATTGACACGCTGTCGTCGGGGCTCAATTCAATTAAGCCAGATTCGGCCAAGAAATACGACTATCAACATGGCATCAAAAACACATTTACTTAATTATCACATATCTAAATTTATTTAACATCGGAAAGATAAACGGATTACTAGCTTGTCGATTTATTCGCAAGTATTATTTCAACATTCATGTAAAGGACATGTGAGCAGATAATTAATGTTACGTAAAGTTCAATTTTACGTTTGAGTCAATGTTTGACAAAATGAGATTCTGTGGTTAAAGGGATGAGGCTCAATATTAAAATCGATGAGGATGAATTGTTGATAGAAGAAATGCAGCCAATGATTGAAATGTTAATGAACGGGCAATGGTTGAATGGAGGGTCAGCGGTTGAAGGAATGAATGTCAATGGTTGAAGGAATGAATGTCGATGGTTGAAAGGATGATGCAAATTATATCATTGTAAAGTGTTCTGAGATCAAAAAGTGAATACTTTTGCAAGTCAACGCTAAACTCAATGCACTCAATGCCATCGTAACAGAAAAAGCTATAAACCATATCATCCTGGAATGCATGGAGCGATAATGACTATACTAGAAAGGTCGCTCAAAACATAGGGAGCACCAGTTGATAAGAATTTACAGATATAACAGAAATGATTTATTTGCTCAGGTTATTTATTGTTAACCACATTCGTACAGTATTTGCTAAAATAGTTTGAACATATTTCTAATATCATTAATTTACATGTACTGAAAAACATAATTTTAACATTAAACATGAAAATATTACATCAAAATTAATTCTCAACAAAATAAATCAAGCAAAAACATGGTATAATCGGTATAATACTATAATAAAGACATTGGTCACAATTGATTAGATTTAACTCATATCTATTAAAGACTAGATGCACGTAGAAATAATCTTGATTTTTAGACATTGAACATACAAAAAATCAGACAAAGTGATATCATACTTGAAATCTACAAGACTGCATTTTGCCAATTTAAAGGAATGAAATATTTTATACTTTTTTTTAATTAATCAGTTTTCCCGATCTTACCATGGATATAATTGTACACAAGTAATATAAACGCAGCTGAAGTATTTATTAGGAAAACAGACATTGTGCCCGAAATCAGACCCGACATTTTTATGAGGGAAAACAAATATGGCAATAACCCTGAAAGTATCAGCTGTACAACTGAACATACGAGTAGTATCTTTGTATCCTTACTATGGACTACCACGCCGAGAGAGAACATGTAAAGACCGTAGATGATAGGGCTGAAAGTCCAAAGTTTGAAAGGATAAGTGACAAGATTGAATTTTTCATCGGACACTTTCAAATAGTCTACAAATAAAAATCTTGTTAGTTGTGGTATCCACGCAAAGCTGACTATAATGGCTTGTACTATGGTTACTGTTGCTATGGTGAATATCACAAGTCTATGATATTTTTCCCTATAGTCAAACATTTTCGTGTTCGATAGGTAGATAGTTACTAATGGGTTTGTAGCAAACAGGCCTCGAATCAACATGAATCCAGTTTGATGAACAACATAAAGATATCCAATCACATCATTTCGATCTCTATCATTCCGCGCAGTATGACGAAGAATGGCGTACAATATGAACGGTTCGAGTCTCTCTGTCAACTCTTTCGCCCCCATTGGTAAGATCATCCGCAATATTCTCAAGTAATCCAATGGAGGTTGGGTTGGAATTGAGGCGGGTAACTCGCCTAAAATGTCCAATTTTATGTAGGCCCCGATAAGGAATACAGTTGAAGATAAAATACACGCATATTGTGAAATCACTGGAATTAGAATAGTGTTCCGAGATGCCAAATCAGTCTGCATTAAGCCAAAGGTGACGACTATCTTCAATAAGAGTCTTAATATCCCGGACATCAAACAATATCTAATGTGGTATCTTTTGGATAACAGACCCTTTAAACCGACATCTATATTTCCAATACACGCTGCTAAACAAACAGAGGCGATTCCCATGTTGAAGATAATTCGTTCATCTTCTTTCATATCGAAAGCTATCTGTATGAAATCTCCACACGGAGTTAATCCCAACGTGAGCATAACACCAGCGGTGACAAAACCCATGAACGTTACAAATACAACCGCACTCCAAAAATCTTTCCTCGTGTTAACCAACACGATAAAGATCTGAATTGATTGGGACGGGGACACAACTGACTTTAGCATCGACTCTATTACATCCATTATAGCGAGGGCCGTTAGGGCTACAGTGACATTTTCTGCATCTCCTTGACTTATTATTCCAACTTGACGATTAATTGGGGCTTCCATAGTAATAAGCAACAGTGGAAGAAATATCCATCCTATACGAGAATATTCACTCCGTATACATTTACTCCGTTCCATATCTGTAATGCAGAGCTCAGAGAGCTCTTTAATTTTGGGATAGCACTGACATACATGATCCGAAGTAACATTCAACAGCACGGAATCCGAGTCCTGTATTTAGTTTAGATTCTTTATCCAGAATTTGTAAACTGCAAATAAATAGATATTATTTTTATATAAAGTTCGATGATGAAAATAGTAATATCAGATGCCAAAATCACATATGTACTGTTCATTCCATACAGGTCAAATAAAAAAGAGCTTATGATCCGTTTCGAAGTCCTGCATATCTACTTTTTCTAGGCATGATATATCACATTTAAGCGATCCAGAACATCCCCCATTGTAAATTTTGAATGCTCTAATTTTAATGCGGTATTTATCAACATCACTACCGGTGAATTCGGGACAAACCAACGCTTTGAGGTCAAAGTTAATAATGTAGGGTGACATACACTGGTTTAAGAAAAACATGATTTGAACTTTAACATGTACTTTCCCATATCATAGAATTGAAAACAAGATGTTAAGTCAGCAAAATAAATATTAATCAGTGAATCCATTGGCTTTAAAGATAGTTCTGACATTCTGATGTGTTTTAGTTGCATCAAAACAACATGGAGCTCCAACTAGGACGCAAAAATGAGATGAACGCAAGAAGTACATGTACCGTATGATCTAACACTTATCAGACAATGAAAACAACGAATGAAATCCTGTGCTAAAAAGTTATGTGTTCTTTGAAAGTATAATGGAAATGAAATGTAAATACTTCGATATCGCTACAAGCTTTCATTAGAGCAGAGTATATTATTATATATATGGTACATACCTTCATTCCTAGACTCTTGGTTGATCTTTGTCGTTTATATTCAGCTAAAATTGGTAACAAGCTCTCTTCCTCTGGTTACAATATAGCTACATATATGGGGGTGCATATTTAAACCTCTTATTTTAAGCTTAAACTCAAACTCAGTGCCAAACAAACTATTATTGCCCTATGACTGACGCCATCTTCACGCCCGTCGAGTTTAATTTTAGCGCTGTAAATTATGAACCAATCAGCACCACCTTACTTACATAATGATTCAATGCATCTTGCTAAAAGAGCAACTCCAAGATCCTTGCGCAAGTAAATAACAATCAGAAGCCCGCTTACATTTTAGTGTGTTGCATTGAGGTATTTAAATATACTCGTTCAAGATTGTTAGACTTAACCAAAAAAAGGCAAATTGAATTTACATGTAATGTGTACTTTGGTATTAGGGAGATGTGTACTTTTTGGAATCTTTATGCAGTCCTCTTTAGAGTCACATGTTATTTTCAGGAATACATAACTCATTTAATATGCGATGTTCATATTTCACATTTACACAAATAGTGCACCAAGATAGCCAGAAAAGAAATAATGTTTCATAATTATGCTATCAATTGCAATAATTGTTCCTGCCACAACTGTGAGTTTATCTTGGAGTTGCACTTTCAGCTAGAATGCATTGTATCATTATGTAAGCAAGATGCTGATTGGTTCATAATTCACGGCGCTAAAATAAACTCGATGGGCGTATAGATGTTTTGCAACGCGTGGTAAATAATGTCTTATATTATAACACCCGCTATTGAACATTTTAACGCCGTTAGTTTACACCTGTATTTGTTTAAATGCGTATAGAACGCCTACATGGGCGTAAATTACGTCTGCACGGACGTAATTAACGCCTACATACCCGTAAACAACGCGTGCATACATAGGGTAGGTTGACAAACCATATCATGTTATATAAACTAAACGCGCATGCGCTCATAGGCTTATGGGTACTTGTGAATGATGGATGCCAGCAAAAACTGTCGCTGTGTTCCATTTTCTTGGTCTTAAACAAGAAATCCGGACCATACGATCACACTGAGCTTAAGACGCGATATTCATTCAGATCCGTCGTAATGAAATAAGGGATGCCACGGCCACATCCAAATTTGCTAATGTTAGGGCATTCTGATTAATCAGAGTCCCTCTTTACCTAACGCTTTTGAGAGGATAGTAAAGGCTGTGGATCCCACAATGATGTTAGGGGACAGTGGGGTAAGAAGGATGTTAAGGCAAGACGGGCCACTACGTTTTTTTGTCGTTTTATGTCTATTCTGGGTTTTCTATAATGATACAATGCAAACTGCTCGATGAATATCTAATGATTTCTTTATTAGGTTTAACTAATGTGAAACAATGGAATGGGCCGCACATGGACATACTTTACGAAATAATACTCGATATGGGAACTGCAATCCAAAATACAGTCTTTCAAATAGCTCAATACTTTGCTCAAAACTCAAAACTAATATAAAATTAAAAGTAAAATTATTACTTATTGCAATTGTATGGTCATAATTTGTTTAGACAACGGCAGTTCAACTGTCATTGTTATATACATACCTTTTAGTCCGGAGATTCTGCCCGTCCCTCCTAGACTTGAACCTACACTCAGCAATAAAAGACACGTCGTAAAAAATCCATTCTGTAGTAATCTCAGGTTCATCGCGCCCTTTCTATTAGCCGGGACTGTTCCAGTGATTTTTAAGATCTTTCGCTTGATGCTTCGTATCAGGTTTATTTCTCTCTCTGCATCTACATAAAAAAAGGATACAAGGCTACTAGAATCTTAGTTGACGGCTTGGATTATATACCAACTGGACTGTCCTCGTTGTGAGGTGATCTGAACTACAACCTGAAGCCAAAACTACAACCTTTTGAACGAGGGCGTTTCTTGCCTAATTAGATAGATCGACGTACTGTATATCGAATCGTTTTGTTTATTTATTAATAACATTCAATCAGTGTGGATTCAAACCTTACAGAATTGGACAAATATATGATTTAAATCAGATTCATAATTCCATTAAGTACTTTGAATCTAAAAAATAAGCAATCAAAGGACCATATTGAAACAGTATTATGTAAAAATAGAAACATTTATTCAAGCCTTAAAAATAGAAACATTCATTCAAGCCTTAAATACCTTTATATATTTTGGCTTGTTTTGTAGTTTGGCTATCATATCGGCAAAACAGCCCTAATTTACGCCACCATACTAGTCAATGGGCAAATGGGCAAACGCCTGATTTCTTATCTGGAGTTATGGATTTATGTGGCCCAACTGGCCCATCTGAGGTTCAAAAGCAATGTCTAGGCTTCATGTTGACACTAAACTCAAACATCTACTTTTTGAAATCATTGGTCAATTGTGACACTTTAAATTGTTAAATTTGAAGCAAGTTGAAAAATATCTTTTTGACCATTTTGACCTTGAGAAGGTCATTGATGGTCAAATCTCAAAGGACCTTATACACCAAAAAATAATTCATCTGATTTTTCAAAATGTGTAAAGTCAGATTTGAACTTCTGAAAAACTTGGAGATGATTTTGAAAAAGGATTCTTGGTTAATATGAAGCAAGTTGAAAAATACCTTTTTGACCTTTTTGACCTTGAGAAGGTCATTGATGGTCAAATCTCAAAGGACCTTATACACCAAAAAATAATTCATCTGATTTTTCAAAATGTGTATTCTGCTTCAATTATTACGTTTATATACACAATAGTATCTTGTTGACCTATATTCAGCACTGTATTGATGTATAGGCCACTTATAAGGGTCATAATTCAATCATGAAGTGTAGAGGCATAGATTCCAAACCAGGAAGTATTTTTGTGTCTGTCAAAATCCATTTACATCCTACGCATCCCTGCATCTTATCCAAATATGTTACTACATAATGAAATATAATAATAGTATAATCTTTGGTTTTACAAACTTGTATGATATTTGATAAGTGTAAAAGTTGTTTATGGAGCATTTTTCTATAGCCATTTTGTAGGGAAAAGAATGATGAAAAAATGTACAATCTTTTAATTTTAAGTATGACCTGAATCGATTGCAAACTTCATATTTGCACATTTGATGAGATAAACCATTTGTGTCGTATTGTGAAATTATTAAGTTTGCAATCGATTCAGGTCATAGTGTATTTTTGGTATTTCTGTGATAATCAATGGAAACCAATGGCCTCTATTGGGATCTGCTGATATCCTCATGTTAAGTCAACGGTGCACAGCCCCATGTAAGTCAATACAACCTTACTGAACGAAATGATCCCTATCTCAGCTTATGTGTGTCCAAGCACTTTAATATTTCCCAAAGTATTATATGACATTTTATTCTTCATGTTACAACTACGAATGATTCTTTTTGACCATAGGGATATTTGCCAATAACTGCACCTGGTCCTTTAAAGTCATATTTGAACTTCTGATAACTTGTAGATGATTTTGAAAAAAGATTGGTTAATTTGAGTTGAAATAAAGACCCTTTGACCTTTTCTGACCTTCAGAAGGTCATTGAAGGTTAAATCTCAAATTCAAACTCAGATTTGAACTTCTAATAACTTGTAGATGATTTTGAAAAATTGGTCAATTTGAAGCAAGTTGAAAAAATACCTTTTTGACCTTCTTTAACCTTAAGAAGTGTAATTTTTCATAAGTAATCTTTCATAAGATGACAGACAACGACTGTTTATGCCACTTCCTTTTTCCATGTGTTTCGTTAGCTGAGCCAACAAGGATACTGATGAGCACTTAAAGTAAAATTTTCTTTTCGTTTTTCCGTTTTTCTTAGTAAATCTAAATCAGGAATTTGTATTATATAAATCTTGTGACAAGAATTTATTCCCCAGTACCAATTACATAATGATTTACCCGATTGCACAATAAGGATCAGTTGCTTGATATTTCATACATGTAACTTGACATAAAGGCCTTTTCACCCATGTACGAAAAAACAATGATATCTCAGTGGTCGATGATCAGATATGAACATATGACCTATCTTTGGAAAGGGGAGACACCTGGCTTCATGATAAACTAAATGAAATGTATGTTATCATAACTGGTTTTGTGATTTTACAATGTTTTTCTTTGTGGCGTTTTTTGGGACGCACTGTACATTACAGTATTGATTCATATGGCTTTGGGTTCACAGTTACGTTGTGAAAAATATCGATAGCTTAAATTGTTTAACATCCCCCAGTCCTGTTGTTCTTGCTGCAATATGCCAAGTTTCCCATGAGGTAAGGTATGCCCTCTGGACATAATTCATTGCCTCCACAACTCAGTTACTGAACATGGATTGGAATATGACAAACCCATTAAAGACTGGAACAATATTAAAATTTTGAGTAATGATGACGATTTTCACAAAAGAAATTAACCAAAGAGGCAATTAAGTCCATTAATTAGCGCCATCTATAAAGAGACAGGGCAGTTTACTTGGACCTCATATACCACCAACTTTTGATACATGCCTTTAAATTTTCAAATTTCCCGACACAGTAACTGAAGAAGTTCTATGGATATAGTCTATAAAAATACAGAGGAAAGAAAACTTTTGTTTGATACCATAAGTTAATTTAATTTTGTAGGCAAGCCTGATTATATATTTAAACAGCTCATGTCCTATAAGAATTCGTATGTAGTATTACATTTAGCAAAATTTGTGTACGTGGCCCACCCACTTTGGGGTCATTTCGTGTTTCACTAAGGGTCATTTCATGGTTTTCGAACGTTTCCCATCTTTATCAGGGTTATTCATGGTTTGTCTACGCTGCCCATATACATTACGATTGTTTTCTGTTTTTTGAAAGTTGCTAGCCAACATTAGATTTAAATTGATATTGCTTTGCGTACGTTGCAAATTTACATTAGACCTATCTTATGGTGTGTCTACGTTGCCCATCAACATATTAGGGTTATTTAATGGTTTGCCTCCGTTCCCCACCAACATAAGGGGTATCTCTTGAATTATGTACGTTGCCCACCCATATTTTGGTAATTTATTTCGTCACACCTATAAGGGTTGTTTCATAGCCTTTTTGTACTAGATTAGTATATTGCCCACACATATATAAGGATTATCATGTGTTCTGTGTACGTTACCCACTTAAGTCAGGGTAACTGTGTACAATATGACTAAAGTAGCCTACACGAATGCAACTGCTGGCTGCCGGCTGACTGTGTGATTGCAATTTTAGTCCATTTGTCACTCCTATGTATCCTATAGTGAACCTATCAATTGTTAAAAACACGACCCTTTTTGCTCAATTCATGACGATAAGGGTTTCCTGAAGAGATTTAGCTGGGTTGGACAAAAAGTTAGTGTGAGGAAAAAATGATATAGGCTAATTAGCGAAGCCATTATTGAAATAGTGATTGTTTTCTATATCTTGAAATGTAAAAAGTATAGCAACATAATTGGTTTGTCTAAACTTGTGTTTTCAGGGTTAATGAATAAGATATTATTAGATGGAGTGCATAATTGCAACTTACCATATTTTATAATTGAAATATCACATTTATTTATTCAGGTATTTTCTATTTATCAAGCTTGTAATACAATGAAAATTACTGACTAATTAACTAATTAAGGGTTTCTTTATTGATTTAAGATAGGTTGCCAATAATAACTTATTTTGGGGAAAATTATATATGCAAATTAGTCCAGCATTATCGGAATATCTTTCATAATTTAAAAAGTAATAATGATAGCATCACAATTGTTGTGCCCTTACCCATGTTTTCAGACTCAACGAAGAAGATAATGTAAAAAGATACAAGAATAATTTATGATATTCCAATGTACTACATTATATGCAAGTTAGCCAAAATGTTTTCAGGGTCAGTCAGATATATGGTAATATTAAAAGATACAATGATAACTTATTAGAAATTGTACATATATGCAAATTTGCATATTTATCATTTGTATTTCGCATTTATCTAAAATATTTTGTGAATCGAGCTCTTGCAGTACAAAGGATGACTAATTGGTGGTTTCCATAAATTCTTGGTAATTTTATTGGGTGGCCAATTATTGAATTTCTAGCATATCTTAGAAAGGAAAAATGATAACCCTGGGACCCGGGGACCCATGTTTTCAGCATCAATGAACAAGATACATGTAATGTTAAAATATACAAAAATATGCAAGTTCAGCATATTTAGAGATATCAACGCTTTGTATGATGAAATACGGCTCGTTAGATGTGTGTCATCACCAATAGTGACAAAGAAATCCATAAATTACTTGATTTATGATTTATGTTTAAAGTATAGAAAAATATACAACATGAAACAGATCCCTTAATCACACCATGAGTGAATATTGAAGTATGGTTGAATGAGATAATGTGTTGGTGTTCTTACTGTCTTAGCTATTAAACCATGTTACCACTATTCCACAGTTGATTTCATAGTTTGTAAGTTTATTATTAAGCAAAGTAGTATGGTCAAAGGCTTTCAAAATATCGCTTTTAGATAATGGACACCTTCATTGGCATATATAATTTTTCCCCAAGGTTGCCCTTTGTCAAACCCAGCTAAATCACTTCATAAAATCTTTATGATAGTGATTCCACAACAAAACATCGTGTTTTTACAGATTCAAAGGTTCAGAAAATGACACATCGACTATTTTATGGTCAACACGTTTGAATATGAATACGAGCTACATGCCGTGCATCATGATACATGTAGCTGCTAGCAATCGAGTCAAATGCGATAATATGTGTATTCAAGTAGCAACTAACACTGAATACATAAGTTGAAGGTGACATATCCGGGTCTTCTATACTAAACAAACAAGACATCGGTATGCTTCAAAAACGGGAAATGTGTCGCGTTTTGTAAAACTATGATGATATATGATATATATTTGTAACTAGGATTAAACTAATAAGAACTGGTATGAAATATAATTTTGTAATGCATTAAAACTAAACCATCATTCAGGTTTAATTTGTTTTTGGCAAAGTTAAAGGTAAACCTCATAAAGATCCTCCAGGTTTTGTATTTAACCAGTTGTTCAACATGGCTAACTGTGTCTCGCATGTACAAATTTCTTAGCAGACAAGTCCACTTAATGCTCAAGACGGCCTCCTCTTGCTGAAACAGATTTTCTTATTTCTTTGCCCCATCACCATTACCAAGCAAATACCAGCAAACCCCTTTTGTCAGAAAAATAAATCTTTTTCACATACATGGTATATTTAAAAAACTAAGAGTGAACCTATAATACTATCCTTTCATAGCGATTGGTCACTCATATCAGCAACTATTTGTATTTGTTTATCGTATAATGAAATAAAACAGATTATAAAAATAATAATAATTAGGGTTAACTGTGAATTGAGTAAGATCAATGGGACAACGTACATTCGAGAAGCATATGCTCATAGAAATATTCGACACTTTTAGACTACAGGGGAGCAAATGATCAAAGCAAATGTGTAAAAAACAACATTTTGCAACCGATCAATTATATGGGTAGATTGACTACGAAAAAAATTTAGCACTGTTCGAAAATCTTTTAACGTTATTAGAAAGTTAAATATCTTCCCGAACGAGTACACACAAAATCAAACATGCCTTATTTATTTTTGTCGGTCAGGTTGTTTATGCCTAGCCTCAGTTACATTTCATCTACGGCAATTGCTCGGCGACATAGGAAACATAGAAACTACCGTTCCCATACGGTTGATAGATGATGGCACTCGGTCAGCGTAGGGCGTCCCTACAGTGGGCGTGGTTTGTCTTAAAAGACCGGGCTTAACAAAAACCAAGGTAGACGCAAAATTTTAACCAAGGCCCTTTTTGGGAATTTTTGGGTTATTACTAAATCACACCGGAATAGCCTGACTACGGTAAAATCAGATTCCGTTGTCACAAATGGCGGACATACCCGTCGCTTCAACTGTTTAATCACTTGGTCCTCATTTAGTGGGATTTTATCGTCGCTAATTCTGTGCATGCTTATAAGCTCTTGTGATAGTGTATTATATGAAATCCCATTTTCCATCAAATTTGGTCGTGAATCGCCGCAATAAAACGTCTTCAATATCGTCAATGACAACGGAATCTGAATTTGAGTAATTTAGAAAGACAGCGGCATATGGTAATTACAGTGTCCGTTGTCCCGTATCTCATTTTGATCGGTTAAATTAAAGACTTGATTTCGATGGTAGAACATTATTAACTGTACAATGAGTATAAAAACACTTTGATTTATTGTTGTTCCAAAGGAATTTGGTCTAGGTGCTCTATTAAACATACAGTTCATGAAAATCTAATTGAAGCGACGGTTATGTCCGCCATTTGTGACAACGGTATCCGACTTTACTGTTGTCAGGCTATTCCGAGGTGTAAATGAGGGAACCTAACCCTTTCAATTCTTTAAAAGCAGCGATGGCACTATCTGCTACACAGCTGTAGCGCAAGGTATCACCGTGGGTATGCATCCATGTGTTTTTGTAAAAAATAACCAAATAATGCTTTTCAACTAGTTTGCAGTAAGCCCATCATTAGATAATTATTTAAACATGTATTAAGTATCTTCTATCACAGATATGATACCTACTTCCGGTCATAATTATTTTCTGCAATATTTTGCGAGGTATAATTAGCTACGCATACTAGATAGTATGTTGCTAGTCAAAACCCTCGAAAACCCAGTCTCAGAATCATTTTAACAATTTTCATTCTAGTTATTTTGTTCAATTTGAAAACAAACAAACTATGCATCAAAATGTGTGGAATTTTCTGAGTTCAGTAATGTTACCAAATTGGCCAGTAAGTATCGAATATTCAAATATAAATCTGGCAAAAGCAAGCAACAAATGAAAAAATGTTCTTCTATTCGAGTAAATCTAACTTACCTGAGTAGTGCCACTATTTCCGTTACTGCTGTATGCACTTATTCAATTTATGTCACCTAGTAATTTTACCTCATGTTGAAACAACTTTCTTCAAAAGTTGGATATACACTCCCCTCCATAAGTTTGGCAACCTTAGCTCATTGAACTACGTGTTAAACCCTCTTTACGTTTGAATTTTTATTTACTTAACCGGCGACGAAATAACTTATAATATTGATGGAAACGTAATTTGACTTTATTTCTAATATCTCCAAATTTTCTCAATTTTTTCCTCAATTACTCAGATGCGAGTAGGTAGTTACCAATTTCGCCACCAGGTGGCTGATTCGGGGGAAATAACATGGCAGGGTAATACAAAATTGCCTTAAACTTGAATATTTATCAGTTTTAGTGGTTCACTTTTCATATTACCCTTATGTATCTGATAGTTATACAAATTTAAAATTGTCCACTAAAAGAAAATATTATCTGGCCAACACAAGAAAAGATTTCCATTTTTGTGATTTTCCATCATCATCATCAAAAAATCATCTATGGGGAATATCCCCGACCTAGAAGAAATATGACATCAGTTTGACTGAATTTTGAATTTTTAATAACGTAAATCAGGATTATTTCTACTCGCATCTAGGATATTACAATAGGTCGAAAATTGATGATAAATTTGATGAATTTTTGAAAATCGTCATTCCCATTTAATCCAATGGGAAATGGAGGGTTCGGGGCAAATCAGATATCAGGAAATCTTTTCAGTAAAAGATTCAGAAAAAAAAAATTATATAGAAAATTGAATTGTCTTACTTTTTTGTACACTAAGTGTTTAGTTTATTTGATGAATACTAAAGTTACAGCGCTTCAAAGTCACTTTTGAAAATAATTTTTAGCCTCCTGTTTTATTTCAATGGGAGAGGTTTTTTGAAAAACAATTTTGACTTTAAAGCCCCATAACTTTGTTGAGCCTGAAGAAACATATCATTTTTTTGTTAAATAAAGTTGGCAAATTCAATTGCCTGCCCAATGCCTTGGTCACATAGGCTCCGATTTTCACTACGGCGCCCGGCCGATGAGTATTTTGTTCAAAATCTGCCGGCGAGCCCGGGCATCGTACGGGCGCCGGGCGATGATCGCCACTCATCGGCCGATTTTTAGACATCGTACGGGCGCCGGCAGAGTTTTATCGCGGAGATAAAAGTTGCCGATGTCTTGGCGATTTTTTCTCAACCAAACTCATCGGTACCTACCCGGCCGTGTCCCGTCCGGTCATCGTACGATTATCTTACGGGCGCCCGGTGGCATCGCACGGTCATCTTGGGATTTTGCGTGCTGATTTGTTAGATAAATCTTAATAATGATTACTTATAAAGTGATATAACGGTTTTAAAAATAATGAGGTAAGGAATTATAATTACTACACACAGTCAGAGATTTTTTATAAAACACAAATGGAACGATTAGGCTTACTGAGAGAATTTGAATTTGAATGGCTGGGTGGGTGGGTTGATCTAGTCGTTCTTATATTGACATTAATCGTGTATGTCTGTCATACACATTGAATAGAGTGATACATTTTTATGCGTATATTCACTCATGCATATACCATTACAAATCATTTATTTTAAAAATAAAGTTCACTGTCTCAATTACAGTTAATATGCCAAAGACTAAGGATAATGGGGATAAGGCCAATGGGCCATATATGAGGAAGGCCTTTGGAAGATTTAGATGTGTCGAGGGAAGAGGGTACTCCACTTGAAATAGAAGAAAAAATTGCCAATTTCATTAAAGATATATTTTTATGACCAAACAAATTCTCTTTACGAGAACAGACAAAAGAAAGATGCAGAAATAGGGAATTTTGCTAATACCATCGGATGGACAGGTAGACAAAGTATTTGTTTATATGAAAGATCTAAAAATGAATTAAGGTCAGGGTGCACATTGATGAAAAGACCTCGTGCAGTATGGCAAGTGATTTTAGACGGTCATATCTTTCACCATGAGTACTTTCTGGGCATAAATACCGTGTTTTTATTAAAACAATATGTTTTCTTTCAATTGAAGTACCCATGATAGTGAAAATATCAATCAAACAATTTGAAAAATTATGAATATGGACCCCTTGTCGGCATTTTTCTTCTTCTAAATATTGAACCTATTTACTCAAAAGAGGATCTTCTTTTTCTGATTTTTATTGCATGCAAACATTATTATCCTGGAAGTCCTGTCTATCGAAGTATTTCGTTTTCAAATCCTGCATTCACGCCATGTGGAACAGTACTAGACTAGTCATACTGGGTCATACAAGAATTTAGTATAAATCTAGAGGCCTGTAGATTGACCGATGTCCTGGCGGGTGCCGTACGGCCATCGGCAGATAGCCTTGCGATACACGTGCGATGTCTTTCAGATTCAATTGATTGCGGGCGCCGTACGATGCCTTTACTAATGTGACCATACTCACGATTAGATCAAGACATCGGTGAAAAGTCACCGGCGCCCGGTCGATTTAGAAATCGGCCGATGACTACTCATCGGCCGGCGCCCGGCGGCTATGTGACCTAGGCATTACTCGTATTTTTGCAGGGACTCGGATGGATAGATATTCTGTCATATGACTTGCGGCAAACCTACCATTTCCCGTTACCTTTAACACGTAGTTCAATGGGGGAGCTAATGTTGCCAAACTTATGGAGGGGAGTGTTAATTTCTTTTAGAGAATGTGTTTGTCGGACTAAGCCCTAGCGTCAAAATACGTTTTTTATGTACAACGAGACAAAACAACCTTCGTTTCAAAAACACTTTTATTGCTTTTGAGAAACGTCATACCTTATTCATGTTATACGCAAAAAATGTCTGTCTTGAATATATAGTATGTTCTGTGTACATACGCATGTAAACCAGGTAAATGACCCTATTTTACTCCTTGTATAGCTATTTATTCATTATGGGTTTCAGTTTTTTCATCGCCTAATAGCATTTTCAGTCGCACAGTGAGTCGCGTTTGACGCATTTATAAACTTAAAGCAACTTTACAATTGATGTATATTTGATATATATACACAGACGCTCGGTCAGATGAGAATATAATGTGAGTTAATAAGGTTCCAATATATACTCAAGGACAATATATACTTAAGGACCAGTGGTTTTCCTCATAGGTTTGCATGTAAACCCCCACATTTGTTTAAACGATTAATTTCTAAGCGGGGAACAAAATAAATCCCAATAATAAAAGTAAATAAAGCTGTATCTTGATTCTATTCCCCATGAAGTCCGCAACGTTTCAATGTCATATCTCCATTACATTGGGTCAAAATTTGATGTCAAAATTGATGAATTTTATGAAATTTAACAAAAATGGCAGATCCCATGTTAAACAAATGGGGAATGGTGGCTTAGGGGCAACTAAGATTTTGGAATATCTATTCAGTAAAGCATTTATTAAAAATATTTTCTAAGTAGAAAATTGAATGATTTTACATTTTACATGCTAACTGTCTCGCTTATGTTGTTAAGATTAGCGATACGGGAGCGTTAAAGTAATTTTGACCACCTCACTGAACCACCTGTGTTATTTCAATAAGAGGATCATTAAAAATTTATTGAATTTGAAACCATTAACTTTTGTAAAGCCTGGACAATTAAATCATATTTTTGTCGAGCGGACAATTTAGCAAATTTAATTATCTCTTACAATTTCAATTTTGAGAGCAATCGGATGGATGGATCGTTCCTCATATGACTTATGGCAACCCAACCATTCCCCGTTACAAGAGTTGAGAAGCTTAAAGTGTACACCCTCATCAATTTTCGACCTATTGTAATTGAGGAAAAAATTTGGAAAATTTGGAGGTATTGGAAATTAAGTCAAATTACGTTTCAATTAATACTATATGTAATTCTAACGCAGGTTAAATAAATTTCAAACGTTAATAGGCTTTAACACGTAGTTCAATGGGGGAGCTAAGGTTGCCAAACTTATGGAGGGGAGTATTTAATTCCTTGCCTCTACAATTTAAATACCCTCCCATACCCTTATTGAAATAGATCTTCTCAATCATAGAAAGTTGAATTTCAGATTGATGCTCCTTAAATTGATGCACAGCTTCAACATTGGACTATAAACTTTACATGATACAATGGCTGCCGACAAAGGTAACTTGACTCTTTAGTTTTCCTGCCGTACATTTGCCATCTATTTGACTAACTGAGGAAAATACACGTATCTGCTCCTTGATTTCAATCAACTTTGATCATTTTTCTGTCCAACAAACGTAGTTTTGCACAATATGACATATACCATGAACAACTTATAAATAGAAATATACATGCATCATCAAAAATGCTATTGCAAGATCTTGAAACAATTGAATAATTTCAAAATTCGATGGCTACCATACCATTCTGTAATTAGATCGTGTCACAACGTACTTTAAACCTCATATACTACGCACGTACTTGCCGTACTTCGACCCTATTAGGGATGCGTCAGTTAATGACATTGTGCTATCGGATCGCAGTACGTGTACACACGTTGGTTATCTTTCCCTCACGATTCCCTCGGCGTTTCCCACCAAGTTCAGAATTGGAATTAGTTTACAGTGCAAAATAAAGATGGCGTGTATTCATTATTGGCAGCCTACAAACATGGCTACGTCCGAAGTTGTGTTTGATTCCAACACAAATATTGGAGACATTCTGACTGAAAAAATAGACTAAGAACCAGAACTTCGTTCAAACAGAGGCTCAAACAAGAGCGTCTCTTGCGAGTCCTGAAAACAAATATAAGCAATTCAATATTCCATTTCTTACCAATTATAACAATTACATGGAAAGAGGCTATCAGAACTAGCAACCTTAACTTGAAAGATGTACATGCACGTAACCGTCCGCTAAATATATAATGTACATCTAATACAATATGTTACCGTCCATAGAATTTATACGTAGTCGTCTAACGACATTGCGTTTGAAACCTTATTATTTACAATATGACCACGTTCCTGTTCTGGATTTGTCATTTTATGTCTTTTTTATACACAGTTTACTTACTGTTAATAGTTTGA